CCCCTCCCTCCCCCTGTCCCTCCGTGCCTCCCTCCCCGCCTCCCTCCTCCTCCTCCTCCCGGCGCGGGCCCGGGGCCTCCGATGTCGCCGCCTCGTCGTCCGCCGCCTCCAGCTGCCCGCTGCTAAAGCCGTGAGGGGCGGGGACCCTCGGGACCCCGCCGGGGACATGGGCAACGGGATGTGCTCCCGAAAACAGAAGCGGATTTTCCAGACCCTCCTGCTCCTGACTGTGGTCTTCGGCTTCCTCTACGGGGCGATGCTCTACTACGAGCTGCAGGGCCAGCTGAGGAAGGCTGAGGCCACCGCGCTCAAGTACCAGCAGCATCAGGAGTCCCTCTCAGCTCAGTTACAAGGTACTTACCTCGTCAGGAGCCTCTGCCGCCCCTTCCTGAGGCTTGCAGAATACCCTTCTCCTCCTCCTCTTCCTCCTCTGGGGAAGCCTGGGCTCCAGCTCTCCGACCTCTCACAAAGTTTTGCTCCTTGTGCGCTTCTTCCCCTTCTCTCCCTCCAGCCTGTGGGGTTTTGATACCTAACCGTGGGTAGGATCCCCGCTGAAATCAGTGTGAGGTTTTGTCATGGACCCCTAGGGAGCTCTAATTCCCCCTCGCTCCCACACATTTTACAGAGTGACTCTTATTCCCAAAGGATTGTGCATCACTTTGCAGTTTCTGGTATAAACAGAAAAGGCAGGCATACTGCCTGCTGCTCATGGAACAGTGCAGACCCCATCCCGTTCTGGGACTTTTGCATGCTTCCATGTTGTCTTAGCAGTATTAACTGTATGCTGCTGAGAGAACATGCAGCTGCAAAAATGCAAGGCTGCAGTTCCTGGACAGCATAACCCTTAAATAGCTCCAGGAGGGAGAGGAGTATTCTAATAAAGCATTTTTTAAAAGGGTAATTTGAAAGTAAAGTTCAAATAAGTTATTTGGATAAGGCTACTATATTACTTTTGGAATAACTTTGAACTTCTTGGCTTAAAGCTGCCGCAGAAACACGGATCCTTGTGTATCTTGGTTTAAGGATGCACCAAATGTGGGTGTTCTGTACTTGAAGATGAAAAGATGCCGATGTCTGACATCTGCATATCCAGAAATCAGATGCAAAGCAGCAGATATATATGTGAAGCATAAGTGCTCTAGGAAGTGCAAGACCTCAGCGCCTCTCTAAGTGTCAAGTGCAAGATTATCAGGTCAGCACATACAAAGTCCAGAGCCAACTTTCAAAACTTCTAAGAGTTTTATTTCTCAAAACTGTGTAAAACAAGAATAAGAGTGGTCTGCTGTAGCAGCTGTAACAGTACTTAACTTCAGGTTGATCGTCAACCATACTTTTCACTGTGGAAGCATATATAAAAGCATGCCTGGAAGCATACAGTTTTTATTCAGAGAGCACAGAATTGGGCTTATGCTGTTAGATTCTTATAGTGATTTGTTACTTAAATATGTTTAGCTATAATCAGAGATCACCATTACTTAATATTTCCATTTCAGGCCATTTCCAGGTAATGCCATGGAAAAAATTGACAGAAACCTTCATTTTAGTAACGAAAAAGATGTAAATGTTTGGCTGGGAGATGGGTATGTGGCAGATGGCTAAAGGGCTACTTTTGCTAGTCTGTATATTTGCCAACAATATTTGAAGAGGAGACAAGAACATCTTGTTCTCAAGCTAAAATTCAACAAGTTAGCTTTTTCTGTTGCTCTGGCTATACCAAAGAGGAGCATGTAACAAACTTTATCCTAACACAGAAGAGAGATTCTCTTGATCAGATATATTGGGTCTGGACTGTTAGTTTAAACTTTCCATGGCTGAAACGTTATTTTGAGTAGCCATGATCTAGCCAAGCAAGTTCATGGAAGCAGCAGGCAACTAGTAGTTGATAAATGCAGTGACAATGCTGCATTTTATGTAAGTATTCTCTTGCTTGTTTCAGTGTATCAATGAGAAATGTAGAATAATGGACTAGAATCTGAAAACATTAATACATTTGATTATCAATGCAATAAATTCACGTGTTTCTGGGACCCATGGCACTGTATCAAGCCTATTAAGCAGGAGATCTTATTTATGCCTAGTACGGTAGCAGAAAACCTCGTTGAAAAAAAAAAATTACTAGCAATTAAGTAACAGAATAGAAGGAAAATCATAATGTAACAATAAAATAGGTTCTTCAAAATTTTCCTGTATTATGGCAATAGCTAATTTACCTAAAAGAGGGTGAGGCTGAGAGCCCAGAGACATACTAAACACAGCAGCAAGCATTAGATGCCTAATCTCCCACTGAGGTAAATGGAAGCTATATGCTTAAGGACTTTGGAGGACTTGGGCCTAGTGAGCTAGAAATAAACTTCTTCCCTGTCTTTCCCTGTACATTTAATGACTCTTTCTGGGATGGCCTGCTCTGTATAATCACTTGAAGTATTGCAGTAGCAGTTTATTAGTGAGGAGAACATAGAGAATTTGGAACCTGTGCCTATGCCCAGCTGACCCGGAGATACACAAGCACCATGCTAACTGATGACAGACAACACCAAAACCGTTTCTGAACCTTTCCTATTTAACTCTTTGATATGGAACAACGGGAAGGAATTTTCTTTAAACAGAGACTTTGAAACAACATAAAATGCTGGTGAAAATCCTGTGTTTGCAGGTGCAGTATCTGACTGCACTTTGAACTTTTGATTTTAAATGGCCTGGATTTTAAATCAACGATGTTTCTGTTGCCAAACAAAAAAACTCTCTCAGAATATCTAGGCTACATCTCTTTGCTGTCCTTAACAAGATGATAGATTATTCTTTGTGTTTATTCTTTTATGAGAACAACAAAATGTATCACTACTAAAGCAGTGCAACTTGTCTTTTCAACAGTGTAATCAGTTTCTCTATAGATACTGGTCGAGAGATAACTTTGGGGCCTGAAGTATGATGGGAGCACTCTGAAATTTTTTTAAACAGGAACCAGTTAAAGGGGAAGGTCACTGACAAAGTATTGCCGGGAGGAAAAGAGGGTGCCGTATCAACAGTGGTTGATTTCTTAGTGTTTACATCTCTCTTCTGGGTGATTAAATAAGACTTGAAAGCTCATTACAAGCTGAGGAGAGAACTGAACCTTGGACTTCTACTGCCTGAACAAACATTTCATCAGTAGGGTTTTATTGTTTTAAATTAAAAGAAAAAAAAAAAAAAAGGCAACTTCTTAAAGCTGTCCTTTTGAGGATCCTGAGGCTGTATTGTGCCAGGCTGGCTGTGCTCCTGGAAGGCTGACTAGATTGAAACGCTTGGGTGACAGTGAAATATTGTGTGTTTTCTGAATTTTGGTTGGGTTTTGTTGTGATTACTGGTGCCTATAAAGACAGTTGCTTTCCTGATTGTACACAGAGGAACACTGTTAGGGCTTTTGGGTGAAACTTGAGTCAATTTGTGGAATGCTGAAGGATCATAGGCAACTCCAGAGTTTATGTATAAGGTCATAGTTTTGGACCTGAATGCCTTTGGTCTGCCCAAAATCTTAAGAAGGATCCTCAGGTGTAGCTCAGAGCGTAGCCTCCCTTCACTTCCTACTGTCCCCTCTACTATTTTTCTATCTCTGCACAGTTTTTTAGCTTTTTCATTTATGTAGCTAATAAGAACCTTCATTTTGGTACTTGTCAGTTCTTCATGCCTGCATAAGCAGTGCTTTCTGTTGTTGTTTGAAAAGCCAGTTGTCTTAGATTTTTATCTTTTTCATTGCCTTGTTTTGCTCAAACGCAACACGTGAACCAGGCTGCGTCTTCTGTATATGTGGGAAAAAAAGCACTCTCATCTACCAAGGCAGAATGTACAGATCACTGAAAAATGGTGCAGGAAGAGGTCTCAAAATCATTTAGCCCATCCACCTGATCTGAAGAGGGCTGCACACAACTGTTGTTGTAGGGAGTTATGCTGCTTCTGGCGTTCATAGCTTCAGGTACTCAGCTGAGAAGTATTTGTGCCTCTTGAAATAAGACCAGGGTGCGACTGGAAGGATGGCAGACTCGGGGAACACGATAAGAATAACTGGTTTGGAGAGGCTGGGATCTTAAGCTCACCCCCTTTAGACAGCTCACGTTGTAGAAGGTTTTGTATTTGAGAGCTGAACTTCTCACAAAAAAGAATGTCAAACTTTGGCATTTTTATCTCTTTAACAAAGTTCTGATGGGCATGGAGAAAGCAGGGCTGCTTTTGTAACCCACAAAGGGAATACCGGAGGCAAAATTTAGAGATGACACAAAATTTCTTGGCTGCTAAGAAAACCTGAAGTCATTGCTATCTATAAGGTCTTTCATAGAGAAGCTGATCTTCCCAGTAAGCTGATTATTTTTAAATCTCATTCTCTGAGTATTATATGTTCGAAACATGAAGATAATCTTGTTTTTATCATTTTAAGAAATACAAAATAAAACTTGACACTTCTTGCCTCCTACAAAGATGTGTCAAACTAAGTCTTAAACTATTAGCCATATAGGAACAGACTTCAGTTGCTAGAACAGAAACGCATTGACAGCTGTAGATGAACCTGATCGTATCTTTGACTGCTTCAAGATTGAATGTATCTACAAATGTCGTCTTAGCCCTTACAGCTTCTGTCTTCTCATCCTCTGGGTATTAAGTAACCCCTTGTGTACTATTTTAATCTGTTTTAATCCCTAATCCTAATAACAGCCTACATCTGGTGCCTTTTACTACCTTAATTTTCCTGCTCTTTCTCTTAGAGTCTTAACGTATCTAATAGCTTCAGGCAATCTCTGTGCAGTCTGAGACCGCGCTGTAATCTTGGGAGCCACCCCAGCATGGACTCTGAACTTGAGAGTTCAGAGTTTGCTCTACTGTAGATGAGGTGTGGATTTCCTCAAAGCGATCCGATCCAGCACTAGAAAGCACCAGCTGGAAAGCAAATGTAGAATTCCTCTGTGTCTGTTGTGCTATTTGTCCTAAAGCGAGGCCTCTCCTTGGAGGTGTCCTGCTATAAGTTGATCAGATCTATAGCAGCTCTGTGTATAGAGACTAGCATAATGCATCACGATACTAGGTCATAGTTCCAGGTAACTTTAGTGATTAATATTTATTATGTCTGTCTGCACGCTAACTATGTAGATGCCAAAGCTGTTCTTAGTGAAGTACATACAGATATGGATGTACTTCACTATCTCACCCCTCTTTTACAGTACTCTATTTAAACTCATACCTTAAGTTGGCAGAGCTAGGAAGAACCAACAGTACTTTCGATGGCTTATTTTTCACATGCATCATACAAGTAGAGTTACGTCCTCGCAGCTCCTATATGGTTTGGTTGTTCTCCGTAACAACAGCAGCTTGAATTCCTGTCGTTCCT